GAAAACAATCTTACAAATTTATCATGATACTGCAGCAAATGGTGCTCATTTTGGAAGAGATAAAACAATACATAAAATTCAACAACGTTATTTTTGGCCATCAATGTACAAAGATATTAATAATTATATTAAATCATGTATTCTATGTGCACAATTTAATCCTCGTCGACAAAAAAATCCTGGTACTTTAAAACCTATTAAACCTCCCGATGGAGTATGGCAATTAGTATCAATAGATTTTCATGGACCTATTACTCCAACATCACAACGTGGAAATAAATATATCATATCTCTTACTGATGTGTTATCAAAATTCGTCGTTACAAAAGCTGTACGTGATAATACAGCTCAAACAGTTGTTAGATTTCTTAAAGAAGATATTATTTCAAAGTTTGGTACTCCTAAATGTATTCTTACAGACAACGGAACACATTTTACTTCAACATTAATGAATGAATGAATTAAACAAATTGGAACAACACATTTATATTCAACACCATATCATCCTCAAACCAACGGTCAAGTGGAAAGATACAATTCAACTATGGACGCAAAGATTGCAGCACTATCAAATTGGAAAAAAAACAGATTGGAATGATCAATTACCATTTGTAACATTTAACTACAATACTTCAATTCATTCTTCAACAAAACAAATACCCTTCGAAATGATGTATGGTCGATCGCCTGTCTTACCATTCGATTATCAAGATGCAAATGTTACGATCGCATATGATTCTAAACATGCGAAAAAACTTAGTCAATTTTTATCAAAATTAAACGAACAAGCAAAGATTAATATTATAAAAAATCAAGAACGATATAAACAACGTTATGATGTAAATCGTTCTGATTCATCGCACAACATCGGTGATTTAGTTCTTGTTAAAACGCTCAACATCCGTTACAAATTTGATGTTCGTTATGAAGGACCCTTTAGAATTATTCAAACAATTACACCTAAAACATTTATCGTCCAACACGTCAAAAAACCAACATTATATCGTCAAGTTACAACCGACGTGTTACTACCAATATTTCAACGAATTTATTAATTACAGGACCTCGAATAAAGAGATCCGTAATAAGAATATGTCAAACCACATGAAATAATTATTTATTGACAGATTAATCTAATTAGATTTAATTTAACATAGCATGATCGGGGAGCGTGAGTTTCCCTCACTCACTGGTTATGAGGGGCTATTATATTTAAATTAGAACATATTATTTTTTTTATATAATTAATCATTCTATTATACAAAATCTATCATTGAATATCATCATTATTCAATTATTCTTGTCAGATTCTTAACCCGGGTACTGAGAATCGAAAAGAAAGCTAGATTTCGTAATATATTTATTGACATATATATGGATACTTTAAGAAAAAAAAATCTATTTCTTCATTTTTCATATTCAAAAATTTGGATTTATATAACTGGCACTAGATCTATATTTCCTACAAGCAGTTATAATAAAATTAAAAAAAAAAATTTTCTGATCCACTAAAAAAGTGAATCGATATTCATTGTATTTTTTATTTCATTATTATAGTCATGTTATCTGAAAAAGAATATCAAGATGCTGTATGGAAATTCAACAACATACCATCAAGTATTACTAGAAAACCACGTCAACATCTTCGTGCTATATTTCGAAAAAAAATTCATGAGCATGAACTTGCATCTCGTTATCCACCATTTGAACCATTAAATTATCAACAATTTTATATTAATTATAAAACTACCGAACAAACTTTAATTCATCTTATTGAAGCAATAAATGATTCAAATTTATTTACATTAGATACTGAATCAATTTGCATTCCGAAAAAACCAAACAAACCAGCACTTATACAATTACAAATAATACAAAAAAATTCAATTTCGTATGTTATATTTATTGAACTTGGTCATTTACCGAACATGCATGAACGAACATTCATCCTACTTCAAGAATTATTTTTTTCATTATTTTATTCAAATAAAAAAATTTACATTTGGGGTTCTATTGATGAACTACAAAAATTTCTCGATTTCAATTTATTCTCATCTAGTCAAATTTACTTGTCAAATAATATTAATTTACAAGATAACTTTAAAATTTTTTGGAATCAACATCATCCTCATAAATCAACATTATCATCAACTAATGATAACATTTCATGCATATGCGAAACATGTTTAGGTATTCAACCAAATAATCCTTGGTCATTACAAGATGCTGTGGCATTACAACTAAATCAGTGGTTAGACAAACGTCATTCTCGATCACCATTCGATATAGGTCTTGATCCAACATTAGTTCATTTGAATTTCAAAGAACTTGCATATCGACAAACAATGACAACATACGCTGCCAATGATTGTTTATCAATGCATCAACTTATTATTAACATGAAATTAATCGAACAACAAGAACCATCAAATGAATTATCTACTAAACCTGATTATGACATTTCAATGTATTCCGATTCATCAGACTCAAATAATTTAATTATATCACCAAATGAAAATTTTAAAATCAATCAATCATCAAATTTAATTCAACAAAATAATCATGATGTAGAAGAAATATCCTCTAATGATGATGAACCTGAACAACCATATCAACATATAGATACAAATAACCCGTCAAATAATGAATTTCAACATGAACGTACAAACATATCCAATGAAGAAAAACGGAAAATTCATAATCGTACATGTACTTTAAAGCAAAGAAAAAAATTATATAAATATGAAATTATAAGAAGAGGAATCGATCGACGATTTACAATTACACTAATCAAGAAAATTCTTCGTGAACATTCTATAAATTTTGGTGCTTTAAATATTTCAACATCTTCTTTAACTAATCGTACATCATTATATATTGGTATAAAAAATCCAACATTACTATCTAAATACAAACGTGAAACTAGAAATCTATTTTCTACTGATCATTACAATGAAATTCATTCACAACAATGTCAATTGAACTCAAATATTCATTATTCTCATCATCATCAACAACACAAATAAATCATAATCATGAATCATAATTTCAACTTTATTTTAGTATAAACAACATCATTGCAGATCATCTTATAAGATGATCGTTATATAATATAATTATCTTACTAAATTACTTCTACAAAAGACAACTATTTACTTTATCACTTAACAATGATTATTATTTATCTTATATAAAACATAATATATTGATTTCCAAATAAGAAACAACAAACAATATGCCCTATGATTCATTATCGATTAACAATTTGTTTTTCTATTTTCCTATCGTTATAATATCTATTAAAACTAGTCGTTTTCTTTATCGTTGTTATTTCATATATTATAAGCTGTTATTTTTTTTCTGGAATAAGTTTTTATATTTTCTTTTTGTTATTTTTCGTTACATTTGTACTTCTACGTTTATTCTCCCTCGGACAAAAAAAACGCCCTTTTTCCATTTCATTTTTGCATCACTTAATAAGTTGTTTTAGAAAAACAAAATATACCAGGAGATGCAGCGTGAAAAGAACTACAATGTGCANACATAAAATTCAACAACGTTATTTTTGGCCATCAATGTATAAAGATATTAATAATTATATTAAATCATGTATTCTATGTGCACAATTTAATCCTCGTCGACAAAAAAATCCTGGTACATTAAGACCTATTAAACCTCCTGATGGAGTATGGCAATTAGTATCAATGGATTTTCATGGACCTATTACTCCAACAACTCAACGTGGAAATAAATATATTATATCTCTTACTGATGTTTTATCAAAATTCGTCGTTACTAAAGCTGTACGTGATAATACAGCTCAAACTGCAGTTAGATTTCTTAAAGAAGATATTATATCAAAATTTGGAACACCTCGTTGTATTCTTACTGACAATGGAACTCATTTTACTTCAACATTAATTGATGAATTAATTAAACAAATTGGAGCAACACATTTATATTCAACACCATATCATCCTCAAACTAATGGTCAAGTTGAAAGATACAATTCAACTATGGATGCAAAAATTGCAGCCTTATCAAATTTACGAAAAACAGATTGGGATGATCAATTACCATTTGTAACATTTAATTACAATGCTTCAATTCATTCTTCAACAAAACAAGTACCATTCGAAATGATGTACGGTCGATCGCCCGTCTTACCATTCGATTATCAAGATACAAATGTTAATATTTCATACGATTCTGAACATGCGAAAAAGCTTAGTCAATTTTTATCAAAATTAAACGAGCAAGCAAGAATTAATATTATAAAAAATCAAGAACGATATAAACAACGTTATGATATGAATCGCTCTGATCCAACCTACAACATCGGTGACTTAGTTCTTGTGAAAACAATCAACATCCGTTATAAATTTGATGTTCGTTATGAAGGACCCTTTAGAATTATTCAAACAATTACACCTAAAACATTTATTGTTCAACACGTCAAAAAACCGACATTATATCGGCAAGTTACAACGGACGTGTTACTACCAATATTTAAACGAATTTATTAATTACAGGACCTCTAATAAAGAGATCCGCAATATCAATATGTCAAACCAAATGGAATGATTATTTATTTATAGATTAATCTAATTAGATATAATTTAGCATAGCATGATTGGGGAGCGTGAGTTTCCCTCACTCACTGGTTATGAAGGGCTATTACATTTAAATTGGAAAATATTTTTCTTATATAATTAATTATTCTGTTATACGAAATTTCTTATTGAATATAATTATAGTTCAATTATTCTTGTCAGATTCTCATCCTAGGCACTGAGAATCGAAAAGAAAAACTACGTTTCGTAATATATTTAGTGATATATCTATGTATATATATAAAAAAAAAAAAAAAAAAAGAAAAGATCTATTTCCTTATTTTTAATTCTAAAAATTTTGGATTCATATAGTCGGTACTAGATTCGTATTCCATTCAAGAAATGATAATAAACAAATTATAGATCCACTATAAAGTGAATCGAAATTTATTATAAATATTTTTTTCTATTATTATAGTCATGTTATCTGAAGAAGAATATCAAGATGCTTTATGGAAATTCAACAACATACCAGCAACCATTACTGGAAAACACCGTCAAAATCTTCGTGCTATTTTTAGAAAAAAGATTCATGAACATGAACTTGCATCTCGTTATTCACCATTTCAACCATTACACTATCAAAATTTTTTTATTAATTACAAAACCACGGAACAAACATTATTTCATTTGATCGAAAAAATTAAAATTTCAAATCTATTTACATTAGATACTGAATCAATAGGTATACACAAACAACCAAACAAGCCAGCACTAATTCAACTTCAAATAATTCTTTCAAGTTCATTTTCATATGTTATATTAGTAGAAGTTTTTCATCTACCACGTATACATCAAACAACATTTCAATTGATTCAACAATTATTTAATACATTATTCAATTCAAATAAAAATATTTATATTTGGGGATCAATTGATGAACTTGAAAAATTTGTTAAATTTAATTTATTTTCATCTGATCAAATCTATCTATCGAATGATATTAATTTACAAGATGATTTTAAAATTTTTTGGAATCAACATCATCCTCATAAATCAACATTATCATCAACTAATGATAGCATCTCGTGCATATGCGAAACATGTTTAGGTATTCAACCAAATAACCCTTGGTCATTACAAGATGCCGTGGCATTACAACTTAATCAGTGGTTAGACAAACGTCATTCTCGATCACCATTCGATATAGGTCTTGATCCAACATTAGTTCATTTGAATTCCAAAGAACTCACATATCGACAAACAATGATAGCATATGCTGCCAATGATTGTTTATCAATGCATCAACTTATCATTAGTATGAATAGAATCGAACAACAAGAACCATTCAATGATTTATCTATTGAACCTGATTATAATATTTCAATGTATTCTGATTCACCAGGACCAAATGATTTAGTTATATCACCAAATGAAAATTTCAAAACCAATCATTTATCAAATTTAATTCAACAAAACAATCCTGATGTGGAAGAAATATCATCTAATGATAATGAACCTGAACAACAACATCAACAAACAATCACAAATATAAATAACTCGTCGAATAATGAATTTAAACATGAACGTACAAACATATCCAATGAAGAGAAACGAAAAATTCATAATCGTACATGTACTTTAAAACAAAGAAAAAAATTATACAAACATGAAATTATAAGAAGAGGAATCGATCGACGATTTACAATTACTCAAATAAAAAAAGTACTTCGTGAACTTACAATTCATTTTTATGCTTTAAATATTTCAACATCATCGTTAACTAATCGAACTTCATTATATATCGGCATTAAGGATAAACAATTATTATCTACATATGAACATCGAACAAGAAATTTATTCACTGCAGATCATTACAATCGTTTGAACCATAACCAGAGATATTTCAGATCATCTCGTAAAGATGATCGATCTACAAATTATCTTGGTAATGTTTCGTGTGAATAAACTAACAAAAAAAAAAGAAAAAACATTTCTATTATATTCTATGAACATGTTATTGTTTTTTCACTAACCTATTTGAACTTGTTTTCTTTTTCTTTTATTCGCATTTTCATATCATATTTATTTTCTATTGTTTATTTACGTTCAGATACAGAGCGTGTTTGTTGTTTTCGTTGTTTTCTTTTCATTTTTGTTGTTGTGATATAACTCGATCTGCTCATTATTTCGTTATAAAAATGTTGATAGGTTACATTTTTTTGTTCAATAGGGGAGTATGTTACAGTGATGTCGCCTGTATACACACATTCTCTATATCAGTATTATCCTCTATCATCTTTCGTCTCTGTTTGATCTTGTATTCGTTCTTTTCGTTCTTCTCGTTCTTCTCATGATATATGTATTCTTTTATATCGTTATAAAAAACNACATATATGGTAGAAAGTTAGATCAAGTTGAAAGTTTTTTTCTACAAATCTTTGTGAATTTCATGAAATAGTATTTATACCAGCAACACAAACATTTATATTAAATAGCATCAATAACAATAAAACATATTGATTATTATCGAAATAAATCATCAGATAACATATTCAAAAAATGATTATTATATTCATAAAAATACTAATCTTTTCGAATAACAAATGATTATATTATGCCAATATCTGATATGATACAATGGAAACAACTCGTTTACAGTAATACCAATATAGTATACAAGAAAACGTGATTCAGCTAATAGTGGTATCAATGATGTATGATCAATCTTTATTTTATTTTTATTTCCCTCTCTTTGATTATATAATGTATATGTCCCATGATAAAAACTACAAGAAAAAACTAATGTATTTAAATAGAAAAAGAAGAATTTTAGTGAAATAGTATTTTAAATGTATTATTGATATTCTTCATTAGTAGTTCGAACTATTGATGACTAATCTGTATTGATTCTGCAATTCGCTCGATCACAATAAACAGGACATTCACAAGTAGTTGTACGTAATAAAGATGATGGTGCTATAGGCGTCGAAAGAATAGGTTTATTTTGTTTTTTTTTTTCTGAAGGTATTTTGTTTTTCAAAAGAAGTTTACTATATCTTCCATAACACCAGCCTTACGAGCTTCTTGAACAAGTGTGACTGGATCTAAAAGTGATGATCCATAACGAGCTCTATAACATGCAGGATTTTCTGGAGTAACACCAAGTTCTTGATATTTTCGAACTATACGTGTTTCAGTAGCAGAATAAATAATAGTAGTATTTGATGGTTGTGGATATTGTTTAGCAGAAGGGGCATGTTCAACAATTGTACGCCGTTCAGGTTGATGTTCATAGGGAATCCATCGTTCAATTATAATATCACCTCAATTACAAAAGAAAACATCAATCTGGAATAAAAAAAAGCAAGAAAGCAAAATGAAGATATTCATTTTACGTGGTTTTTCTGGAGGAGGCGGAAAACGTTCGATGATAACTGATCGTGGTGGAACAGGCAAAGCAGGTAAGGTACGAATAACTGTAAAATACAATACATTGAGAAATCTAAGCTATGTAATAAAAATTTCCTTTGGTTTTTTTCTAACTTGTTTCACTGGGAATATGTTTTGGTGGTGTTGGTGGTCGTTCACGTAAGATAAGTGGAGGTAGTGAAGGAAGAGGCGGTGCATGTTCGCGTATGACAAGTGGTGGAGATGGCGATGGTTGTCGTGGGCGCACTTCTTTAATAATGAGTGGCTAAAGTCATAAAAAGATTAGTAGAATTGAATTTATAATCAATATGTTTCATTACTCCTGGCGGTGGCACAGTTGGTGGTTGAAGATATCGAAGAAAAACTCGTTGTTCAAGTATTACCGGACTTGAGTTTCCTTCCTGTCGAACAATTTTTGGATTAGGATCAATATATAAATTCGGACCTAATTTTCCCAGATAATAATTTGTTTCTTTTGGACTATATGTATCAATCGCCGTATCGTCGATCCATCTCCTAGTTTCACATGAATCGTATCTATTAACCATACATCCCAAATCATCTTGAGAAACATGTTTAAATCGATATTGACCAAATCGATTAGTACAATCATCATTATGATTAAGTGCACCAGCAATTGATTCATTTGACGGAATACATTCTTCAGTATTTGAAAGCCTATTACGAAACTCCCTTTTATCAACATTAAATATGCATATATGTATTTATTATTTAATTTAAATTCTTAATTTCTACCTTCCATCCTGATTTGTGTCAATTTCTTTAAATAACATGTCAGCTGCATTATTATTTGTCATTTTTCGGAGTCGACAAAGTAGAAATAGATTCTTAAAATGAAAGAAAACTAATGATCATTAAGTTATATATTCATCATAAATATATCAAATGTTCAACCAAGTATCACCAACATTAGATTCGAATATAAATATCCAACATTTGTTTTATAATATTATGAGCATTTTTGTTCATACTCTTTTATTTTTTGGCACAATAAAGAAGAGCATTAAAACAACAAAAAAAGTGTCTCAATGATCGTCACATCGTTCTTATAAATGGTTTACGAAGAATGGAATATAATCAGGAGAATATTAAAAACAAAGGAAACTGAAGAAGAAAAGCTCTAAACTGTTGAAGAAAAAATANCCAGGATCCAATAGGCTCCACCAGGATCAAATAGGAGCCAGTAGGATCCACCAGGATCAAGTAGGATCCACCAGGATCCAGTAGGATCCACCAGGATCCAGTAGGATCCACAGGATCCACCAGGATCCGAGGATCCGCTTTTTTCCCCTTGTGTTTTGCGTTTCAACTGAGGCCATGCGTAATTAACCAGCATCTCTTTATACAATGAGCCAGTGACAGTATCGTTAAAAAAATATGGACCAACAAGTCCATCAGAACCTAGTCCGCACCAAACCATGACTCCTTGTTGTGTATTTGGTACTTCAATTTTTTAGTGTGGATTTTTTTGGCCCAGTACGTGCAGTTGTGTCGATTAACTGTTGTATTCATATTAAATTTGGCTTCATCGCTCCAGAATATACAATCGATTAGATCGGGATCATTCTCGAATTTTTCGATCCATGATTCGCAAAGCTCGCTGCCACGATCGAAATCATCTTCACTAAGGTCTACGATTAACGCTGGACGATAGGGTTTAAAGTGAAATTGCTTCATAGCCACTTGATAAGTGGTTTTGCTTATACCAACTCGAGCAGCACCTTGACGAATAGACAGTTGTGGATTGCTAGTGACCATTTCTTCAATCTCATCCAGTTTTTCTTCAGAAAGTATAGTTGGTCGACCACTGCGTGGTAAATCTTCAACTGTTCCATTTTCATCAAACTTCCTATTTATTGACGAAATTGTGACTAAATGAGGCGGAGTTGTATCAAAATGATTCGACCATTGTCTTTGTACTTTGCTCGCACTTTCAAATTTCGAAAAAAGTCGGACAATTGCGACTCTTTCATCAGTAGTGCGAGTTGCATACATGTTAAAGAGTCGTAAATGAAATAAGCGATGTTGTACTGTACTATCACATGGGTTACTTTTTTTTTTTTTTCATCTTTTCCTTTCGTTATATCCAGATACGCGTGCTTTTACTCATATGAATGCATACATATGTACACACGTGTGTATTAATCTATCTGCTACGTGTTTCGAAAAAAAGAGGAACAAGATAACGGTTAAACTTAGCAAATGATCTAGCTTTTAGCAGAAAAGCACAATAACAGAGTTATTTTTGGATAGTAAACAAATCCCCATTATAGCTAACGAGTGACATAGTGAAGAAAAGTTTGCTGGTTTCATGCACATAAATAGACTGTTTTTTCACGAATAAAAACTTCTATCTATCCTCTACCTTTAGAAAAAAATTCAGCTTATTTGGTTGAAGAGTGACGAAGATATTCAAATTTTTCTAACTTTAGTGACTTTCCGGACACCCCATACATTGAACGAACTACGAAACTGCTTGTTTACCTATGGTCATTTACATATTGCATAATTATTTGTGAGCGAATATAAAACACTCAGTGATCCAAAAATAATATAATACATAGAATCTCTAAACTATCCACATCTTATGTTACTTTTTCGTCATCTGATATATGGAATTTTCTTTGCTCGTATACAACATTTCGAAGTATATTTTTTCTTGTTTCTAAGATTTCTAGACGTATTTATTACATTGAACTGAAAGTTTCCTTCAAAATAGTTACAAATCAGATTATTGCAACTCGTTTCTCATCCAACAAAGCTTTTAGACTTGTAAAGTGAATCCCTTTTTTCTGAATGTGGTAGACGGAACCACTTTTTTTATTACTATCTATTAATTCGTATCGTATCAACCCAGCAATAAGTGACTCTTTGTTATTCATGTATTTCTCAAGGAAATACAGGACAAGCTATATGCAACATGAAAAATAAAGAGAAAGATAATCTGGTTGTATCACCTTTATTATATCGGTAATTAGACAAATTTGAAAGTTGTTTTCTACTAGAAATGTCATCATAAAATAGCATATCCATCTTCTGAATACTATTGGTCACTTTTCAATAACCCTCTCTATATTATCATTCGGTTAATGTTATATGTAAACAACTTTCTAAAGATATTATGCAAAACTATGTAGATAGATTCTGAGAAAAATAACTATCCTTATAAAAAAAAATACAGCAGTCAAAAAGAAAAACTAACATGAAACATATAGAAAGACAGTGCAAAGATAATCAAGAATTATTTTCATTATAAATTTTGTGTTTTAGCCTAATCTATGTCAAAGACAAGTTCAATGCGGTTCGATACAAAAAAACAACGCAAATCAGTCCTAAATGTGAAAAATACCGAAGTCAGTTGTAGAGAAAAGCAAAAAGCTATCAATTCTAATGTGTAAACATGTTATATTTAAAATTACTTACTTTTTTTTTCTTTACTGCTATTAATTATTACGAATGTAGAGATATAGGAAAACTAAGTAGAATATGAAGAAAGATAAGTGAGATTGGACAGTAAAGCATTAATTAGAGAGAAAGTCGGTATAATGAAATACATAGAATGGAGCATCTCATGCATGTTCTCATTAATTTCACAAACTCAATACACTATGATGAAACTTTTTTTTTCTTTATTTTGATAATATATATATACATTTTTTGATTGTTTTATAGTCGAGTTACATAAAAATGAAAGAATAGATTATGTTATCGATAGAAAACGAGCTCAACAATATTCATCGAAATGAAAAATAAAATCGTTAAATTTTATTGTATAAAATCGATTTGAATACTAAACAGTAAACTATATTATTATTTGACTTTATTTTAACTTAAAATAAAAATTTTAGTCTTTTACAATTAACCATCGTTATCAAAATAATAAATACATTCTCATGACGAGTCACATATTTTTAGAGTCTACAACCATGGTAATGCAAGGTTTATTGAAATTCGCTACAAAATCAGACATGTTTAAACAACGAAAACAATAGTAGTAACTTGTCAAACAGGATTTAATGATCGAATTCGATGACTGACTTTGCGTTGATATGATCGATTATGATTGAAAACAGAAAAATCTAGTTATCAGATCAAATCGTTGTATTCTTGTCTTCGAAAGAAATTTATTATTTTCTCTGAACTTTTCGTCTAGAAACCATCCGTATTTCATGAATTAAACATTCTATGCCCTTATCTTTCTTCTGATAATTTCGATGAAGATTAAATTATTTTTTGAAGAGAAAATGGTAGTCTAAAAACTAGATACTTTGAATGTGGATCTAATAGGACAAAGCTAAAATAAAAATGATTAGTGAAGTCACGAATTCCTACATGGAAATATTGATAAGGATGAATAAAAATTGAAAATTCTAGCTAACTAAATAATTTCTATATTTCTAAAAGGTTATAACGACAAATTTTCAATGCAAACACTGCTGTAGAAAAGCTTACTATGGAAATAATATAATGCCGCGAGGCGGTTAAAAACAGAACACTTCTGAAGTTATTGTGATGTCTAAAGTACTTGAGTTAATAAGACCTATTGCAGCTCAAATAAATGTATGTAAAGAAGAAAAGACAAGAAAAAAATGTTTTAATCAATGACATACAAATTCTGTAGGTTTTTTTATCCTAATATAAAGACTGATTTTTCACAAAAAATATTATCACCCGAAGAGCAGCAGTGTAAAAATGATGGGTAGATGTACATATATACACATAAAAGAAAATCTCGAAAGTTCGAAGAAAAAAATACTGGAATGCATTGAACTGTCTCTGAGATCTTAAATCCTTCGTCAGCAAAAGTTTCAATCGAACTAATCAATTAATGAACTTTTAAATTTGTTTTTCCAAAACATTTACTATAAATACACTACTGAACTAGGAAATATACAATATAGTTAAAAGAAAATGTGACAGGGAGAGAAATACTTGAACAATGTTAAAAGTAGACAATATTTTGGCAAACAGATGAATATGAAGACTAGAAAATGGAAGCAGAAAAGAACACAGATACATATATTTTGTATCTGTCATCTAGACAATGTCAAAACAGAAGAAATAAAAAATATCAAATATAAGTGAATCATATTATAAAATAATGTGATTAGGTTGGTCATGAAGTACTGTGTACTCTCGTAGCTTCTAGTGTTCTAAGTGAAGGTGAACAAAATCAAGAAAGAAAACGATGAGATACACGTGATAGATGAAGTGGATGTTCATGATCATGTTTATCTGAATATTGAAGTCTTGCTCTCAGTCGCATTCATATCCTGAAAAACTAAAAGTTTATTTGAGAAATTCCATCGTAGAGAAAAGTTTCCTTTTCCTTCATTCTGTCACAATTGTTCGATACTTTGATAAATAGGATGTGAGTCATGGAGGATGTGTATGACAATATTCTTTTAACACCAATTTTCTCTGTAAGGCTTTATGAAAAGAAAATATGCATAAAAGTTACTTGGTTTTGGACGTAAAACAATTTTCAATTGTGAATTTCATATAATATCGTTTATTATCATGTTTATTTGCATTTGACGAACATTGTAACAAGTGAAGTGATTTTGTTCTTCAGTTTCATAGTAAAGATTCTTCATCATCTGAAAATTTTCAAGAGTTCCAAGAAAATCATAGTATATCGAAGAAAACACCCTAGACAGATGAGGCATCCTACGAGACATTATTTTCTCAATTGTTGAGAGTTTACTTATTGTTTCTTTCGACTCAGTTGTTTGACCTGTGCAAAGTTCCAATTTTTCTTGAAATTTCTATTCAATATCTGACATTTGATTTATTCAAGTTTTGAAATATGATACAGGAAAATGTCGACATTTAGTGATGCGCATGGTTTCGTAGCATCTTAGTCTGAGAATGGCATCTCGAGTAATGATGATTTCTGTGAAGGTCAGTAGTTGCTGGTTTTTTTTATCCAAATGAGAAGAAGACTGGTTTCCTTAGTTAACTCTTTCTCTCATACCACTAATACAGATATTTGAACATGTGTTATGAAAAAAAGGGAACAGACAAATACATGTTATCTTGTCTCTTATTGATCGATACAAGTTTTCGCCTTGAAATCTTTTTCGAAACTGAAACGTAAACAGAACATAACTACTGTAATCAAGCTCCTAAGCTAGATGTGGGTGTGTGTAAAAGAAGATCGGCTCCGCATTTAGACTTTGCAGGACACGGAATGATTTCTATCTGTTTCATGACGTTAGTTGATAAAAAGTAGATGTTACCAACATGTTTTAAAAATTTAAACAGATGCTACGATATATTTTTACGTAGGTCTTTTATTCTTTGTTGTCAGTCACATCTACTTATGTTTGTATCTTTAACTTGTGTTTTGAGGCGAGTTCATAAAAATTGCATTACGAGCACGTCTTCAATTGTATGTAGACAAGTTAATTGGATTTTTTTGTGGATGTTAACGAGTGTATATTGAGTGCAATATGATCTTATTGAGTTTTAAGAGAATTTTTTCTATATTTTTTGGCTATTTTGATTGCTACAAAGGAAACGTTAGTGAGAAAGCTTGTTAGCGCAGCTCCTTTGAGACTAAAATGTGGAACTCACATATCTTCTTTACTTTCACTGTGCTGATGGCAAAATATATAATGTTTAAATTCTCTCAAAGACAATAGTTCTTTTCTAATAATAATTGATTGTCAGCAAATTTTGTCGTTTTCTATTTATATACTTCGAGTAGAATTCTTTTTGTGAAGTTGCTATGGTCTGTAATGGGGGGTTGTCTTTAATGGGGGCCTGTCTGTAATTGGGAGTATGTCTGTAAAGTTCTCTTCCGTTGCTATGTGTCTGTAAGGAGGGGAGGGGGGAGCCGCAAAAACTTGAACTTAAAACTTACGCTCACTATTTTCTTCGAAAATATATGTGAGTTCCACAAAAAAGTAAATCCGAAATGGCACACATTCGAATCAAAAGATAAATTAAATGCGTCTATCGGTGTTAGTGGACATAACTCGTAAAAGCAT